TACATATTCAGGTACAATTGTGTAGAAACCCTCTGTTTGATCTTTGAGTTAAAATAATGTTTATCAACAGTTATATTTAATTGCTATTTTGTGAAACTTATTGATCAAACAACACACACACACATTAAACATATACATATATACAGTCTGTATATATATGTGTGGTAACCTGTGTGGTAGCATGTGTGGAGCCTGTGTGGTAGTATCTGTGTATGCATCATTTATGAAACGTGGTTGAATGAAGAACACATTATGCTGCCTCTTAAATATCGCATTCGACCAATAGAAGGCGAGAGTGATGAAGCAAAAGATATTCGTATCAAGCTAGCAGTTCAGAGATTTTGAAGTAACATTCAGCTGAAGCATGTGGAAACAGGAACTTTTTAGTTTTCCCGCTATATAAGCTCAATCTTGATCATGAACCTACATTGTTTCAAAAAGAGCAACATTTCATTCATAAATACGCGCCTAAGTTAAATGTAAAGGCGTAAGTTGTTTGTCCATTGTCACCTTGGTATCGTGACGTCATAGTTTCCTAAATGTTATGACGTCATGTAACTATATGTTACTACTTCATGTCCGTTATTCAGTTATGGCCTGATGAGACTCGTACGTGGTACGAGTTGAAAGCGCTAGCCTAATAAAACTGTGTTCAATCGTACTCCACTTATTTAATTATAACTATATATATATATATATATGGTTGGTACAGTATATATTTAGAGAATCACACCCAAGTGTCTTTTGATATCAAATATAACACAAGTCAACACAAGTTGATAAAAGTGGAAAAAGTCCGAGGCTTGCCGAGGATTTTTGCCACTTTTATCAATGAATATTGATATATTTGATATCAAAAGACACGAGGGTGAGATTTTATTTATCATCCAACATCATTCTTCCAAGTTTTTCAGTTTGCAGAAAGTAATTAGCAGTATCTTCAGTGTAAAAAGTACTGCCAACAGCTTCAATAGCAGTGCTATTATTGATGTCATTTGATTGTGACGTCATTGTAACCAGTGACGTCACAATGGTCTTCAAAGCATTGTGATGTAATTTCATTGCATCGATATCTACAGTGTAGATATCGCTTGATCTCATCCAAGCGATATCTCCTGTGGGAGCCAGTTTTGGATGATAAATGTGGTGAACATAAAACATTCATACAATCACATCAGAGAGGCTGTTAGTCAAGTCAGACATCAGAAGTTGCATTTGATCGACCGCTATTTGCTGGTCTGTTGCATGTGGAGAAGATCAATGTCATGATGTTTGGTGGTGTACACATTGAAATGGCAGGCCTCAAAACGATAGAAGATTGGTTACAAGATAGTGCTTGGACATATGTCTTGTATGAAGCAAACATTGCTTCACCAGGTATTGCACAGTCGTTCTACCCATGCCCACATTGCTACTTTTGGTTGCCTCCGTGCTGCTGTAACTGACCTGATGTAACGTTAGGATACTACACCCAATGAAGACCGGTACTTGGGTACTTTGCCTCCCCGGTATCGATTCCTCACAGTGACGTAATTGGCAAAGAATGCCACAGGGCATATGGTTAGTATGTGGCCAATCTTCCCGTGGCAAGAGAGTTGGCCAGATTATACTCCGGGGTTGAACCTGGGAGCTCCCAGATTATACTCCGGGGTAGATTCTGGAAGCTCCCAGATTATACTCCGGGGTAGATTCTGGAAGCTCCCAGATTATACTCCGGGGTAGATTCTGGAAGCTCCCAGATTATACTCCGGGGTAGATTCTGGAAGCTCCCAGATTATACTCCGGGGTAGATACTGGGAGCTCCCAGATTATACTCCGGGGTAGATTCTGGAAGCTCCCAGATTATGCTCCGGGGTAGATTCTGGAAGCTCCCAGATTATACTCCGGGGTAGATACTGGGAGCTCCCAGAGTATACCCCTGGGGGTTGATACTGGGAAAGGGGGGTAGATTCTTGAGCTCCCAGAATCTACCCACGGGTAAATACTGGAAGGCCCCAGAATCTACCCAGGTATACTTTTATGCATTTTCCCGAGGCAAGAGAGTTAAATGACTTTAAAAGTCCAGTTTCCACCCTTGCCGAACTAGGCTGGAATTCCTCGGCTCGATCGTAGCACCACCTGTGGCTGTTACGAGTTATGTCCCTTCTATGCCTCTCCTATGGACCAATCAGATTCCACCTCTCGTATCACTTGCATTTGCTTCAAACAAAATGGCGGCACCCAGACAAGACGATCTGATCGACAATCAAGATCTATATTGTGATAAAACAGGTCTTACATCGCGAAGTGCATCAAATCATTTGAGCACCTTGATTAAAAACTTGACAACGAGTTGGCAGTGCACATGCTTTGCAAATCCTGCAATCAACCGAACTCTGGATGACAGTTTACAGACCGGATTTTGATTTCAGTGTGGGATTTTGATTGGACTATGCATAGACTTGTTAGTCCAGCCAAAATCTAATTCCATAATACCAGCCTAGTTCGGCAAGGGTGGAAACTGGACTTTAACAGTCAGTTAACTCTCTTGCCTCGGGAAGATGTATGTGGCCATGTAACTCAGTGCTCATGAAATTGAGGACAGTTATTGACTGCTCAACATCGTTGTCAGAGATTGAGATGGGCCCGGACTGTACGCTCCCCAGACATATCCACCATATAAACCCCTCTGGGATGTCAAGTATAGTCATCGGCCACATTCTCCAGCCAACCGACAAGAAGTGATGCAGGACCTCCAAGAAGAAGGGCGGCCTATCCCACGTGACTTCATCAGACGACTGACTTTTTCCGTTGAAAGCTAGTTTTTTTCTACCCCAACTTAATTCAGGCAACTGTCAAACCAGTATCAGATGCTGTCACTTTCAATGTTGATTTTGTTGAGTATTTGATCTTTTCAATACTTTTTTAGTTCATGAATCTATCTTTGGTGGTTTTTAAACTAGAGTGACTTTGAGTGAAACTATGGTAAAATTTCTTTTGGCCGTCAGTTTATCACGTTCTCTTCATGCTCATAAGATTACAGGTTTTGCTCTCTTTATCCCCATGACAAAAGCCTATGAACAGAATTGTCAACTATCCAGCAAAAAATGTACTTTGAATTTTGATCAGTGGAGGAGTGAGTGAGTGAGTATGGTCTTACGCCGCTTTTAGCAATATTCCAGCAATATCACGGCGGGGGACACCAGAAATGGGCTTCACACATTGTACCCATGTCGGGAATCGAACCCAGGTCTTCGGCGTGACGAGCAAACGCTTTAACCACTAGGCTACCCGACCGCCCCGATCCGTGGAGGAAAGTGTGTAAAGCAGCAACAGTTCCCTAAGTCAATTTCTTGTCCATCACTTCAGATTTTGACATTAGAATTCTGATGTTCCTGAGATCACTGAGAATGGGGAACTTCAAGCTGTACACAATGTCCCTAGAACAACTGCTTCCCTTGGGTTTTTTTATTTGGCAGCCATATTGGAAAAATTATGGTCACCAAGTATCTAAAAATGATCAAATGAAAGAGAAGTATCATAATACCAAATATGATAAAGCTATGTGAACAACTAAAGGCCTAATGTTTACAAATGTCCAAAAATAAGGATACTTTTGGTGGCCATCTTGGATTTGGTGGCCATCTTGAAAATATTGGATGGCCCAATAGCCATAAATTTTTGTACTGGGATGAAGAACCTGTGTACCAAATGTCATGCTTTTAACACAAAGTGCACAATTTAGTCAATAAGCCCCTCCACTATGTGGTAGCACGTGAGGCAGCCTGTGTGGTAACCTTTGTGGCATATTGTATAAGGTACCATGTAGGAATATTTCATCTGTTCAAGTTATAACCACATATAAATATGCTCCATGGATTTGAGGAGTGGTTACATATAGATTTATGGTAAGTGAAATTATCAACCTACACCTGCACATATTGTTGATGTACTGAGACTTTCAGTGAATGTGTTTGGTATTAAAAGAGAAAACTATGGAAGAATAGGCTCTTACGCATATTGTAGCTGTAATATGGGACTTTATAAGCTCAGATGAACAGGTAGATGTTAAGCAATTGTATTGTGTTCTCTGATAAAACAACATCTATGGTAAATTTGGACTTCTTCTAGCATCCAAGGGCCCTCAATAAAGTCTATCAGAAAAGGGTCTGAATTGTTGAAAATATACATTTGGTTATTCACTGTCACATATGCAATATTTGGCTTGACAGAGGGTATGGCTCAATCAATTTGATAAACATGATAAGTTCATGATTATTTTTAAAATGTTTCTCCTTTGAATGAGATAATTAACATGATTAAGAACTCCATAGTGAATGATTTGCAGGTTTTGAGTAGGGTGAAAACAATTCACCGAACATTCGATGAACCTTTGATATGTGATGACACAATACATGAATCATAAAATGAGCTGCTGTATCGATCTAATACACATGTGTTCTATTATACTATTATCAGAAGAGTTTACAGCGGACAACATCTTATTCGAAAAAAATATCACATGAGACATAAAATTCAATTCTACTTTCAAAGCTGTTTTCAACATTAATATCAGTTAGTTACATTTTTATTCCACAAGTACTTCATGAAAAAAAAAAGTTTCAAGCATCAGCTTGATGAAAAGGGTATCATACTGTGTATCAAACATGACTACAATTAATAGTAATACATGAATATTGTATCATGGCTAAGTGTATCAGTGGGCCTAGAGAATGTCAGCTGAGGCCATACCAGGACACATGCTGCTGCTGATTTCATACTCTCCTCTGCACGGTGATGCAGGAATAAACTCAGAACTGAAACACACTTATTACGACCATATGTACTGCTCTTTCAGGAGTCTTATATACCTATAGTTTGGAGTAAATGTGTTCTTTTCCTCTGTAACTGTAATCACTAATGTTGCAAACCAAATAAGAGTGCTCAATCAAAAAATTCCACAATAATCAACTATAAATAGTTATTCTGTAACTGAACAGTTTAAATTAGTTGTGACTAACCTTCGGGTGGCTCTTTTTGCTTGTTTCCTCCATCTCCACCTTCCTGTACATTTCCTCCCAAGCTCGCCATGTTCGCCATGTCTGTGATATCCATATCTATGTTCCCGTCAAGGTCTTCATATCCATCATCTCGATTGAACTTTACAAACCTTGAAAACATTATGACACTTTAGGCACTTTGTCCTTCGGCAATAAAAGTGTGCTACAATAGGCGACAGATGTGTACTTCCATTCACACCTTCAAGTGTCATGCATTTATGGGTTATAATGGTGTATATGTCGTTAAAATACAATTCGTCACTGGAACTATTGTTAGCAGGGTCGTTGGTAACAATGAATAGTCGTTACATGTTTCTGGTAGATTGTAGCACCAGTCTTTTTGTGAGAGTACTGTAGAGAAGACCTCTGACAAAAATAAATACGTCCGTCGATTTGCAGAAATTCTGCCGTTCTGACCGAGCACCTGGCCAAGACGAAATCTTCAGCATGAGCTTCTTTCGTTATTGCCTATGTGTTACTGAATCGGCAACATATGTTTTAATAACATTTATTGGTTATCTTGTAAATGCCCCATAGTCGGTCAACAGTGAATGAGATGTTGGCTGTTTACTATCAATGATGAGTGAATACATTGTTTGCCCCCTGTCAAATGAAGCTCCTCACAGCGATATCCCGTTCGCGGAGCACTATCGCGATGTTACCGAGAATGTAACGAATGTGTCACGCGCTGGGAAGGAGCTTGCTGTTAAACTGGTTCTATTGTTGGTAGGCGACGCAAGCTTAGCGTGATTTAGTCAGACAGGAACCCAGTCTAGCTAGCTGTCCAAGCTCCTCACAGCGATATCCCGTTCGCGGAGCGCTATCGTGATGTTACCGAGAGTGTAACGGAGGTGTCACGCGCTGGGAAGGAGCTTGGAGCTTGTCATGTGAAGGGACACGACTCTGCCTAAATTAGTCGTGAATTCCAGTCCTGAATTATTGAATACCACTAATCGCGGTTAAGCCAAGTACACAAAATATCTCCAAAAGCGATAGTGGTGCTTTTTCTAATGTGCATTTATAGTGTTGTTGTTGTTGTTGTTTGTGTTTCCAAATATGTTCAATATTTTGGTATTATATATCAAACACATATTTGCATCATACCTGTGATGTTTATCGCGGCATAGCTACTCTCCAACTAGTACACCTTATTGGACGACGTCAATTTATTGACCGAAACGGAATCCTATTTTGGATGCCCGCCACTCGAGTGCATGTACATTTCGAATGACTTCATTACGTAAACCATGTATTTTATTTCAGAACGGAGAGAGAAAAAGAAAAATTATATATTGCTTAAAAGGACGTCTGGAGCCCACCTGGGACCAGAAGTGCCATACAGGTATTAGACATCCTACCTGAGTAACTAGGGTAGTCATGCAGCAACTATGAGATAGACATTTGAATGATAATTAGAAGTCGATTACCAACGATGATACAGTGCAAATCGTCGACTTCTTTTGTACAAACATTTGGGTGTAGATTCTAATAACGTATGCTTGCAAACGGTTTTATAATTGTTATAATGAAGATATATTGCTTCCTCATCCTGAATTAGATTGACATGCAGCATTAATTTAAGTAGCAGACAAAACAAATCCTGTTTGAACGACATGAATCAATCTTGGGAAGACTAAAGCGGTCATAAAATGTTCCATCACAAGTAGAAACTTACTGCTCCTGTTATGCTTCTGTTAAACTTTGGTGACTAATATTTTAGTCAGATTACAATCCAATTGTTCGTATATTTGGTAAAGCATTCAACAGCATCGATTTAAAGTATATAAACATCCCCTTTCAAAGACATAAACTATTCAACATGCATAAAGCAGTCAGACTGCTTTTCGGATCATTCGACTTCTTGTCAGTACAACCTGCATGGTAATACTGCCATTTTTGTTTGATTCCTCAAAATCAAGTTACATTTTTATATGCCAACCTGGTTATGATGCCGATGCCAAACGCCCCAATTCCCTGTCTATAATGCCAATTTTAGGGGGTAGTCTTCACCAATATGTATCATTATCGTCCCTCTCTCAAGTGCATTGTTGTTTTCACAGGTTATCAGCGGGCATAAGACAAACTTCAGTCAAAGATTCAAGTGAAATTAATACCGTATTCGACGTAATAAGCGCCCCGTGAGCTCTCCAAATAGAAATAGGGGGCTCTTATTAGAAAATAATTTTTTTGAAAAAAAAAACAGAGTGCGTATTAAACACGACAAATATATTTTTCAGAATTTAATTTCCCATAATTAAGGGTGCATATAACACACGAGTGCGTATTATACACGAATAAATAAGTCTTGTGTACATTGATCAATCGGAAGGAGTGATAGCTGGGATTGTTCACCAGCCAATATATTAGCAAATTAGCGCCGTGCATGGGCGCTTTTTAGAGGGGGGCGCTTATTACGTCGAATACGATATTCACAGCTGTACAGTGTGTATATATGTAACTTGCATAAATCAACCTTGAATAAATACATGTAGTAAGAATTGAATGTATTTTGGTTCTTATAACTTTCCTCTATTATGTCAATCGGGTCCATCTTTAACCTTCCTTGTTACAGTGCCAACCTCGTTAGAAGTTGGTACTCCGAATGTGAAACATGCGAAACATCGCTTAATATTTCATTTGCTTTTTTAACTATTTGCAGTTCCTAAATACTGCCGATGTCCTTGAGAGAGTTGCCATTGATTTTATTCGCCGTGTTACAGATTTTGAACGGTTTGTTTTTGTCGCCAACAGACAGGTTTCGGAATCAGCTACTGAAGTTAATAGTCAGAATACTTAAATAAAGGTATGCATTTCCTTGCTGAAACCCACGACGGATTTGCTGCTGATATTCCATAAATGATGAGGGCGAATCTGGAATTTGAAACCCAGGAATCTGATGATGGTTAAGGGTAGACACTCACCTCATCAAAGTGCGGTAGCATGCATAGACGACTCGGCTACCCGTGTATTCCTAATGTATAACGAATGAGAAGAACAAGTTGAAATCAATACAAGGACTTGTAGCAAACCATATTTCTGCATATGCATATCGTATGGCGTATATACTACCTAAGCTATACACCATGAGTACAGAATGTATGTATGCATGCAGCGGGTCGTGTTGGTTTTACTGGGGGTGGATCACATTAATAGCATAAATTTGCCTAGCTAATGTTATTTTGTCAGCTTTATTCCATTTGATGTGGTCCCTATTCACAAGCATACAAACATCACATACTTTTCAAATGCTTGAGACTGAGACTGAAGCGCGAAAAGGTATACCACCATGGGTTTATGTGGGTAATACTTCTCTGAAAGGGAAGAATGTCTAACAACAGTTATAGTGGAACGTTTTGGCCTTTGGGTCATTGAGACAAATGTATTCGAAAAAGTGAACACTTGTACATATCGGACTACAGAATCCAATGCTGAGGCTTCAAACCTATCTCGTACATATCATTACCACCAATCCCTTTACATTCATTTAACATTCACACAGCGAGACTCTTGGGCTTTATCAAATGTAAATGTCCATGTAATGGTCAAACAGCGTGTATTAACTCGTTAACCATACTTCCTTTTCTAGGTTAACAGCCATAGATTCATCTACATTCAAGTTATTTTATGCTTGTACTTGGTAGGTGGCCACACATAGTTAACGAACTATAATGTTTGCTATACCTGATGGAACTGAGGAAAGACCAGTCTTCATTCATCAATTCTGAACACTTATTGTTCATAAATGATCACTACATTTATGATATCATCGCGTTGTTCTGGTGCAGAGAACGCGATTGACCTGTATGCAGCCGCCAAGCAGCATTCATGGCACGACAGTGGCATACACACTCTCGCCTCACAGACTCACCCCCTCCACAACACGCCTGGGTAGCACACACGCTGGTCTCTTCAACTGCTTAACTGAAGAAGCATGCCTACCACAATAACACTATATATGTATATGTATGTATATATATAATGTAAGCATGGTTCACGCATGTAGGCAATTCCCATAGGCGTATATAAAAGAATACAGCACCAGTGTAGATTGCAATGCAACCCGTTACTGTGGAGACCAACATATATATGTGCATACTGTGTATGAGAAATATGATGCATATCAAATGTAAAGACTCCGGTGAATGACCCACGACATCATCGACGCAGCGCAGATGAAGCATGACTAGAGAGGATACAGAGAGTATACAGGTGCATGCGAGTCGTGCATTGTGTAGAGCTTATACATCTTCATGGCCAAGTTTCATAGATTACACATTAGCTTGATTATATTGACAATAAAACCTAGTACTCACAAATCATCAGCTATGGCTACTTCGTAATTGTCAGGTGGATGTCCATTGCCAGTAGCGCACATATTTTGCTGGAGATAAAATGAATTTAATCACTAAAGCAGTTGTCCCTACAAGCAAGAAATAGTATCTGCGTTATCATGCAAATATACAGCAGACGGAAGGACAACCTGTTACATTCATGTTCAATTAGGTGTTACTGATATCCCTGCATTTCAATTATTCTACTTAGCGATTTGACCGCGTGCATGATAAGTTTAGACTTCAGCCATAATCTGCCACCTTCCAGGTCGACATTAACCCCACCACGCAGGCGCCTCATAAACTATAACGTATATTCACCATTGTTTTTGACTTTTGTTGTGACATTGTTATCAACATTTGTGAAACAATAAATAACCTAATTATAAATACCGGATTAGGATAAGTTTAGAAGGTTTTCCTTGGGTTCATCGATGATAAAATATGCAAAATGCTTTATTGTATTTTCAGAAACTTGTTTCATACAAGTGGTTGCGAACATTGAGATGCAGGAATCAGGATGCAGGAACTCAGCGGAACATCTAGCTGGACAATTCTCTTCCAGGCAGTTTATCTGTAAACAACGAAGTGAGGACGTGTGACACAAATATTAAAGTCTTTTGAATATTCATATGTCAGGTAAGCATGTCAAATTGTCTTTATATACGTTCTTTAACAGGTATAATTGTGTAACTTAACCAAACTGCGGTCATGCATTCAAAATAAATGTTTGTCAAATGAATATATTGACACAAATTACTGTTTGTTTCTTTTGATGAAACTTCTTATTCAATATGTGAATGTATATATTTATTGCCTATTTCAGGACAAGACACAGACGCAGCAAACAAGCCTAGAAGACGGAATTGCTGAGCATTTTGGACATGGACACTCGTTCGTAACACTTAACACTTGGTTCAATAAACGTGTTCAAATGTGCAGTAAGTGTTACATCGTCTTAGAACATGTGAATGCGTTCATGTGTTGAACATTTACACCTGTTCAGAATTAGAACACTTTTTGTGCATACGAAGATATGTGTTTAAAACCTGAACACTTGGTTTTAACACATTTACGTGTTTAATAAATGCTACAAGGATGGATGATCAATGTGTGTTCAGCACCTTATTAACACTTAGGATTACAGTGTATATACACAACAAATGGCAAATTATCGATTTTATGTATGTTACGTTTCCGCACACGTGTTGCGGTCGGGAACAACAAAACCGTCGGCATCATATCTCCTCTGCACATGTAAAGCAGTCAGTTGCCCTGGCACGTGTGTCTTCACATGTGCACCCTTTACAGGGGCTGTAGGGCATGGCCCCAGATGATGTATCATTGCACCTCACTGACACCTATATCGCCTAAGAAATGTTTTACATTTCAATGCGCTAATGTTTTAATTCTGCGTATTTACGGTTTTTCTCTGTGACGAAACATTATCTTGTTCTTGAAGGTTCTACAGTCCCATGCGGTCACGTCATGCACAACTGCTGGGTTTTACATACATCAGCATCTGGCATATGCGTCCACAGGGCAAAGTAGTAAAAGCGAAACCGTTGCAAAACAAGTAGACGCTCACTGCTCTCTCACGGCTACCTCTTGGTTTATGCTCCACAAATACACTGGGGAGGGGGCGTTGGGGTAGCCCAGTGGTTAAAGGGTTCGCTCGTCCCGCCGAAAGCCTGGGTTCAGTAAACCATTTGCGGCGTCCACCGCCGTGATTATTGCTGGAAAATTGCTAAAAGCGGCGTAAAACCATCTTCAATAACTCATAAATAAACCTGACCTAAGTAAAATACGATATATACTACTATACTATATGGGTGTGACAATGACAATGATGGATAGCCTCCAACTGCCATATCCCAAATGTTAGGGTTGTGTTACCGTCTAATTCCCCCATGCCTGTTGTACCTATGTGTAAGTGGACCTTCATGGTAATAATATAGTCAACAGCTAACAGTGACAGTGTGACTTTATTTCACGGTTAAATATGACAGATAGTTGTAACACATAACATATGGGACCCCGAAGAGAAAAGGTCCCCAGCACCCCATTACTCGCTGTGAGGGTGGACCTAATGGGGATCGGGTGGTCAGGCTCTGTGACGCAACTGATCGCTTCCTCAGGTGGCAACGACGGTTGCTCATGTTTTCAATCACATGTTTGTCATATGACTCAATCATTTTCAGGCCGCAGACTAAAAGCTATAAAAAGCAATGCATCTGGCTGTGGAGTTTAACAACAGGCATTCACCGTTAAGAGTCCTGTCTTCTGTAGTCACATGCATACTCTGCAGTTTTGTGTCAATCAGTCTCATATTCAGCTAAAGTTAGACCACTAACGGTGGGTCATGAGACTATCTTGAAGTTATCAATATTATGTTTGCTTGTTAACGTCGCTCTAAGAATTATTCTACCATGAATTTGGAATTTACTTGATTCTGATTGGTCAATCAGAGGCTATTAAATCACAATAAACCCCCTCTGATTGAAACAGCTGGTTTGACGGCCGCTTCACCGCGGAAGCTAATATTAATAGAATATAGTACTATTTTCAGTCATTGTCGGTAGGCATATTTAAATAATCATATCTACAATTACAGGTTACAAAATGCACAGATGCGGTTACTACAACATTCAAAGTATGTGTGGCAATACATTTCGTGCAGAAAAACACGTTAGAAATCAACAAAGGAAATGTATTTACGTTTTGGAGACAACAGAGAGCTTGGAATTTTGGCGCGCTTCTATATACGACTGTGACGTCATATCTTTTGCGTCACAATGAGCGATATGACGTCATAATGGTGACGCGAGATGTAGAGCGAAAGCCTTGCAAAGCTTGCTTTGTTTTCGTTAGGGATGCCATGGACCCTAAATATAGACGTATTAATTAAGTGTCCATGGGGATGCCCACCTAATGTTAGTTTACCAAGTTGCCGTGCTTTTATTCTTTCAATGTCTGTCATATGTTCGAGTGAAGTATTATGGTGTTAACAAACTGCTTGAGTATATACAGCACCATATTTTGTTCGGTGATTCCGTAATTCAGATCGATACCAACTCAAAACACTGAACTCAACCCATATGTCGCTTCACTCAGTATATTTGCAAACACCAAAGAGTTCGCTTTTTATTTAGTCATGGTAGAATGGAGATAAACACACTGTGTTTTCAATGTAGAGCTAGGTTACCTGTAGATTTAACCGCGCTAAATTTAACATTTGAATGCGCGTTCGGTTCCAAATTCAATTTAGTGCGGTTAAATCTAGAGGTAACCTAGCTCTACATTGAAAACACAGTATGTTTATCTCCTAATTCTACCACGAATTTGGAATTTAGTCGATTCTGATAGGTCAATCAGAGGCTATTAAATCACAATAAACCCCCTCTGATTGAAACAGCTGGTTTGACGGCCGCATCACCGCGGAAGCTAATATTCATAGAATAGTACTTTTTTTCAGTCATTGTCGGTAGGCATATTTAAATAATTATATCTACAATTACAGGTTACAAAATGCACAGATGCGGTTACTACAATATTCAAAGGATGTGTGGCAATACATTTCATGCAGAAAACACGATAGAAATCTACAAAGGGAATGCATTTTACGTTTTGGAGGCTAGAGAGCTTGGAATTTTGGCGCTTTTCTATATACGACTATGACGTCATATCTTTTGCGTCACAATGAGCGATATGACGTCATAATGGTGACGCGAGATGTAGAGCGAAAGCCTTGCAAAGCTTGCTTTGTTTTCGTTAGGGATGCCATGGACCCTAAATATAGACGTATTAATTAAGTGTCCATGGGGATGCCCACCTAATGTTAGTTTACCAAGTTGCCGTGCTTTTATTCTTTCAATGTCTGTCATATGTTCGAGTGAAGTATTATGGTGTTAACAAACTGCTTGAGTATATACAGCACCATATTTTGTTCGGTGATTCCGTAATTCAGATCGATACCAACTCAAAACACTGAACTCAACCCATATGTCGCTTCACTCAGTATATTTGCAAACACCAAAGAGTTCGCTTTTTATTTAGTCATGGTAGAATGGAGATAAACACACTGTGTTTTCAATGTAGAGCTAGGTTACCTGTAGATTTAACCGCGCTAAATTTAACATTTGAATGCGCGTTCGGTTCCAAATTCAATTTAGTGCGGTTAAATCTAGAGGTAACCTAGCTCTACATTGAAAACACAGTATGTTTATCTCCTAATTCTACCACGAATTTGGAATTTAGTCGATTCTGATAGGTCAATCAGAGGCTATTAAATCACAATAAACCCCCTCTGATTGAAACAGCTGGTTTGACGGCCGCATCACCGCGGAAGCTAATATTCATAGAATAGTACTTTTTTTCAGTCATTGTCGGTAGGCATATTTAAATAATTATATCTACAATTACAGGTTACAAAATGCACAGATGCGGTTACTACAATATTCAAAGGATGTGTGGCAATACATTTCATGCAGAAAACACGATAGAAATCTACAAAGGGAATGCATTTTACGTTTTGGAGGCTAGAGAGCTTGGAATTTTGGCGCTTTTCTATATACGACTATGACGTCATATCTTTTGCGTCACAATGAGCGATATGACGTCATAATGGTGACGCGAGATGTAGAGCGAAAGCCTTGCAAAGCTTGCTTTGTTTTCTTTCGGGATGCCCACCCCATGTTAGCTTACCAGGTTGCCGTGCTTATATGCTTTCAATGTCTGTCATATTTTCGAGTGGAGTATTACGGTGTTAACAAACTGCTTCAGTATATTCAGCGCCATATTTTGTTCGGTCATTCCGTAATCGATAACCCACTCAAAACACTGGACTCAACCCATGCCGCTTCACTCAGAATAATTGCTAACACCAAAGAGTTCTCGTTTTATTTAGTCATGGTAGAATGGAGTGAACATACTGTGTTTTCAGTGTAGAGCTAGGTTACCTGTAGATTTAAATGCGCTAAAATTAACATTTGAAACTTCACGCTGCGCGTTCGGTTCCAAATTCAATTTAGCGCGGTTAAATCTACAGGTAACCTAGCTCTTCATAGAAAACACAGTACGTTTGT